CCCCTTCTATTCACCCCGCATACCCCCCTCCCCCAACCGCCCACTCAGCAAGTGCAGTACAGCCCCCAACTCAGATTTGAAAAAAAATCAGTGGATGGCTGTTTTCTGACTGGTTGGCAGACCGCCGACCGGTCGACCCTACTGGTCGGCTGCAAAACGGTCGGCGGTCGGGGTCGGCGGTCGGCAGGTATGCAACCCTGCCTCAAACAATAAGAAGCCTTCAGTGGTTATCTTTTATTGGCCTGTCTGCCGCGGTCCCCATGTGCACAAAAAGGAGATCAGAGAACAGACAAATCACCTCCATGCAACATGTGGCCCCTGAAAGAGTCAGAATCCCTGGTGCACCTTTTTTTTTTTTTTTTCCACTTAATTGAATGTCCTCCGGTGAAAAGGGAAAGGGCTTTCAACACATGGTCTGGCTTATCATCTTCCAACTTTCCCCCCAAGCCCTTCTTTCTCCTAACGTCAAATAGAGAAGGAGGGGTGAGATCAATGAAATGGAACACCATGGGTCTGATCCGAAGAACGACACTACAGTTGATTTGCAGGGCCAGATGAAGACAAACGGTAGGGAAGAGAAATACTTCACTGCAGGAATCGCAGGATGAAGCCCAGGAAATCATAGAAGCAGAAACATGTGCAGAGCGGAAGAGAATCTGGACAAGGAACTGATCTATCAGAATCGTGTTGGATTGTAGTAGGACGTAGAGGAGGAATGACTGATGCAGAGACGCATAGCACAGATTAAGGGAAGGGTGCTAATTTGCTAAATATGAGAACTAGTGTCAATACCTTTCTCGGCCTTTTGGCTAAGATCAAGTGTAGTTTCTGTTCTGATAAACAAAAAAAAAAAAAAAAAAAAAAAAAAAAAAAAAAAAGAGAACTAGTGTCAAGGAAAGCAGTGATCTGATAGGGAGGAGCCAGAATGTGAGGTTATGTTGACGGACTCACGGAGATCAACATTTGGAATATATTCGGGGGCCGCCAAACAGTACTTGAAAGCAGTTCTTGCTTCTTTGGCTATAGATCACACGACCTGCCTGACAGATTGCGAGGAACTTCAGCAAGTGCCTGTTTTCATGGCCTGTTCTTTCAAAAGGAGTAGAGAATAGGGGGAAGGGGGTTTGAAAAATTAGTACGAGCGCAGCTGGCAGTCACTGCAGTCAATCTTCTCTTGTGACGGTAATCAATGCTGTCAGGGTTCCTCTGGCCGTAATATGAGGAAGGGTTTCGTGAATCAACATGCTTTTGTCAACCTTGCCAGTGGAACTACCCAGAACCGGATGAAGCAAGAACCTTTTTTTTTTTTTTTTAAACTTCGCATGTGGGGATACCTACTTAACGAGGTGATAAGAGCAGCCCCGTTAAGTGGCTCCATCTATTGGTGGGGAGCTGCACCTGCTGGAAATCGGGTCCAGCGTCCCTATACATCAATAAGCAAGAACCATAAGGTCCTGTTTTTTTTGTTTTTTTTTTGAAAATCCTATGCAGTTGTAATGCCAGAAGTTCTGGGCTCCGACTTAGGGGTTACAGTTTAGGATTTCAGGGGGAGTTGCAGCAACAGCAGCAGCAGCAGCAGTTGTAGCAGATCCAGCAGTTGTAGTTGTAGTTGTAGGTGTAGTAAGCATGTTAGCAATGATAATATTGATACTGGAATAGTAATAATATATCCTCTCACCTGCTCACCAGCACGAGTCTGGAAGCCTCCAAGGAGCTTGCAGATGTTCGCGGAAGGGTCCTCACCATCCTGCAAAAAACATTCAAAGAGTGAAGGCATCAATTATTCTTCCTCCGTGAAGCTAAACCAACTTTGAATTTGAAGAAATTTCACAAAGTTTAGTGAGAAAGCAGTTTTGTGAACCCTGTAAGGTCTCCTGCCACAAGTGCAAATGAATCTTTGCTCCTTAAAACACACACACACACAAACACACACACACACACACACACACACACACACACACACACACACA